AGCCTCGACCTGCTGGGCTCCGGCGATCCTTCTGCCTCAGCCTTCCAAGTAGGTGGAACTACAGGTATGTGCTACCATGCCTGGCTAATTTTTTAATTTATTGTAGAGATGAGGTCTCGCCAAGTTGCCCAGGCGGGTCTCAAACCCATGGGCTCAGGCAATCCACTCACCTCAGCCTCCCAAAGCACGGGATTACAGGCTGAGCCACCGAGCCCAGCTTAGGAGTTTTCATGCAAGAAGACAGGAGAGGTGGAACTTAAATAACAAACACAATAAAAAGTATAACTCCAAGTTTAACATGGCCTTGAAAGACCTTTTCAACACAAAAGAGTGAATGCACAAAGGACTGAGATACGAGGGAGCTTGGCACCTTCTTGGAGAGAAAGATGCTTACGGAACGATCCACCCCAACCAGGACACCTGGACAAACCTCAGGGAGCACGGTCATATCCTCGATAGTCATCATCAGGACACACGAGACTAACAATGCAGACCTGACATTTCTTTCTTTTTTTTTTTTTGTGAGTTGGAGTCTCTGTCGCCCAGACTGGAGTGTAGTGGCCGCTTCCGGCCACCGAAGCCTCGACCTGCTAGGCTCCAGCGATCCTTCCGCCTCAGCCTTCCAAGTAGCCGGAATTACAGGCATGCGCTGCCACGCCCGGCTGATTTTTTGATTTATTGTAGAGATGAGGTCTCGCTGCCCAGGTGGGTCTCGAACCCGCGGGCTCAGGCAATCCACTCACCTCAGCCTCCCAAAGGCACGGGATTACAGGCTGAGCCACTGAGGCCGGCTTGGCCTGACATTTCTGAGGCCTGAACAGAACTGATCTCAGGTGAACCAGCTGAAGAGATGTCCTTTTTCATGTGGTGGGCACAGTCCCTCAGAATCCTTCATGACTTTGACGAACTGTTCCAGCCACCTTCCTCCCTTCACTCTAGTTCTGTACTTAACAAGGAACTCTCTGATACTAATGCAGGGTCCTGGCATCAGAATGGAGTAACTGGAAGAGCAGAAAAACACATCTTAACGGTAGGAAGGAAGGCTCAAAATGTAAATTAATACGTTGGTAGTACAGCATACCAAACTTCAGGTTCCTGTGATTTGGTTACCATAAGTCAGGTCAGGGAGTTTGCATAGGAGAAACAAAGCCCCATTTCTGTTCATCCAGAGCTCAAGATCAGAGCCTATGTGATGCCACCTCATGAGGCTGTCATGAACTGAATGCTTGTGTCTCCCCCAGATTCATGTGTTGAATCTCTAACTCCCATCACAGCTGTATCTGGCGCTGGAGTGTCTAAGGAAGTAACTAAGGTTAAAGGAGGTCATAAGTGTGGGGCCCTGATCCAATAAGATGAGTGTCCTTAACAGAAGAGACACCAAGGTCAGATATGGTGGCTCACATCAGTAATCCCAGCACCTTGAGAGTCTGAGGTGTTCAAGACCAGCCTGGGCAGCATGGCGAGACCCCATCAGAAGAGACACCGGAGAGTGCACTCTCTCCATGCCACAGGAGCACACAGCAGAAAGTGACCACCTGCAAGCCAGGAGAAGAGGCCTCAGAATGGAGCTACTGCTGTGGGCACCCTGGCAGTGGACTTGCATCTTCCAGAACTGTGAAAAATATGTTTGTTGTTTGAGCCACCCAGTCTGTGGTATTAGATTACAGCAGCCCAGACTGACTAACAGGCCCCTTGGAATTGCCCATCTGATGTGCACTGAATTTTCTTTCACTGTTGCAAAAAGACAGACACTAGGCCCAAGTGTTTCTTCCCCAGCTTGAACTCCCATGTTCTTCATTGGAAAATGGCACTTGAGTGTAGGAAGGGTCCTCTTCCCGAGGCTTGCTTCTCTTCTAACTGGGAAAGCATGAGATTTTAAAGTTGCTTTCCATTCTGTAAGTCAGATCCAACAAGGTGACTCTGGCAGCACAACTTTCTGTTCAGAACTAAGTGCTATGTGGGACAGATACAGGACAAAACCCAAGCTTCCCTACTTGTGAGAAAGGAGGACTTAAAATCCTCATTCAAAGGGTCTAGAACTGCGTCGTCCAACAAGATGGCTTCACCCAGCAACTGGGCACTTGAAACATGGCAGGTGTGACTGGAAAAAGTGAATTCTCAATTTTATTTAGGCTTAATTAACCTAAATTTAAAAACCTACACTCCATTCAGTTATTGGCAGACTTCTAAGTATGTCTGGGCATATCAAACTGCTTTTTCAACTGCAAATTTTATGAAATCCAAATATAGATCAAATATTTCTAATAAAAATTTAGCATCCAGGTTTTGAAATCCAGTTGCCCCTTGAACACAGGTGTGAACCGCACGGGTCCGCTTGTATGTGCTTCTCCTTCTGCCTCTCCCACCTCCGAACAGCGAGAGCAGCCCCTCCTCGCCGCCCTCATCTATGTAACACGACAGTGGAAAGGATGAGGGCTTCAGGGTTATCTACTTCCCCTAGTGAACAGGAAGTGCTTTCTCTTTCTGCTTAATTTCTCAATAACATTTTCATTTCTTTAGCTTGCTTTATTGCAAAACTACTGGATACAACATTATAACATATAAAATGTGTGTTAACTGCTTATTTATGTTACTGGTAAGGCTTCCAGTCAACAGTGGGCTATTAGGAGTAACGTTCTGGAACACTCAAAATTATACTAGAATGTTCAGCTGTGTGTGAGTCAGTATCCCCCCCATCTTCATATTGTTCAAGGGTGAACAAACCTCATTAAGCATTTTGGTGTAATTACACGTTGATATAACAATATTTTGTTTATACTAGGGTAGACAAAACGTCACTGAAACTAATCTCAGGCGGGGTCCTGCGGCTCGCACCTGTAATCCCAGCACTTTGGGAGGATGAGGAAGGAGGGTCACTGGAGGCCAGGAGTCTGAGGTCAGTCTGGGCAACACGGCAAGGCCTCGCCTCGACAGAAATGCTTAAAAATCAGCCCAGTGTGGTGGTGCACCTGTGGTTCCAGCTACCAGAGAGGCTGAGGCAAGAGAACTGCTTGAGCCCAGGGTTTGAGGCTGCAGAGCACACCACTGCACGTCCACCTGGGTGACAGAGTGAGACCCTCTCTCTTAAAAAATTAATTTCATCTGCTTCTTTTGGCTTTATTTCACATGGTCGCTAGAGCATAAAAACCACATATGTGGCCTGCACTGCCTCTCCGCTGGCCAGCAGTACTGATCCGAATCACAACACTGGCTGACGGAGGCAGGCAGGCACGCGGGACAGGCCTGAGGCAGCCAGTACCAGAAAGGAAAGGCCGAAGGATGAAGAGCACTCCCCTTGCAGGAGCACAGGTCTGCCACGCACAGAGAAGGATGGCATTTGCTCACTGCACCACGCGCAGGGCTCCTTCTACCTGATGCTCTTTTCTGCCTTCACACCCTGGGTTCACACGTTCTCAGAAGCCCCGTAACGATGCCAACGTTCACACTCTAACCGTTTGTCTCCACACCCCGGGGACACCGCTCTTGGCTCCACACACACACAGAATGAGAACAGCTTTCCCCAAGCTCATCCCCCACTGAGAGGCCTGGCACAGGCCCAGCCCTGGCTGGAGGGTGCCGTGGCAACCAGGTCGACGTACCATCATACTGATGCCTACAGAGGCCTGGGCCCCGGCCCTGAGCCCGTCCGAGAGGTTTTCAGTCACTGAGCGCCCCAGGAGTGCAGTGTCTGAGGAGAGGCGATTGATCAACTCTCCTGTGCGGGTCTTGTCAAAGAAAGCCACCTCCTGCCTCAGAAGGGAGGAGAACAGTGAAGTTCTCAGCCTATTTACAATGCGTTGACCTGCAAAAGCAAACAAGAATGGGCTGACACCAGGTAGAGTCATCCGTCACCGCAAGAGGTAACTATCTGCTACAACGCCCTTCTGAGCACTGCAGCCTCATGCCTGTCTGCTGTGCTGTCTCCCACAGGTGGGGAGACTTCCCCTCACCCACCCATCTACCAGGCATTAATAACAAACATTGCTTTTCTCTTATTAACTAGAGCCTGTGGGGGCTCACAAGAGAGCGCAGGGATAAAACAAATATAATATGACTGAGTTTTTTTGTTTGATTATTTACAAAGAAGTTTTACTACACTAACTTCCCAAAGCTAATTTTGTCCCTCCCTGGCAACCCTTTTCTGGTTAATCATCCACAGAGCTAAATGGGAGCAACAGACTTCGAGCGGATGTCCTGGGCTCTCTCGTGACTATGGTAACAACTAGGCCTCTTCACAGAAATACTGCCCGAGTTATCATCTCACCTGGTGATGAATGACTCATCACACATAAATGACTTTCTTTTTTGAGATGGGGTCTCACTCTCTTGCCTAGGCTGGAGTGCAATGGCACTATCTTAGCTCACCACAGCCTCAACCTCCCAGGTTCAGGTGATCTGCTGGCCTCAACCACCAGAGTAGCAAGGACTACAGGCATGAGTCACCATGCTTGGCTAATCTGTTTACTTTTTGTAGAGATGGGGTCTTGCTATGTTGCCCAAGCTGGTTTTGAACTCCTGACCTCAAGCAATCCTTCCAGCTTGGCCTCCAAAGTGCTGAGATCACAAGGATGAGCCACTGCACCTGGGCTGATAAATGGGTTTCTGAAGCTCCCTGAAGGCTGGAAAGCCCAGCTCCATGGCCAGGGCCTTGTCCTCAAGCCTCCCATATGACAAATATGGTGATTTCCCTCACTGATCAACTCCAGCTATGTAAAAGGAGAGTTGAAAAGAGAGTGCTCAATATAAAACAGTTCATAACTCTAGCACCTGGCCGGATACTGGGATCAGATCCCACTTACTGAAGTATCGGAGGCGAGGAAAAGAATAGAGCCTGGAACACAGGAAGCTCAGGCTTGATTCAACACGTCCCAGGGCTCCCCTACACCTTCTGTAGGACAACACCCTCGCCCAGATGAGAAGCTGTTACCTGAAGTCTGCATGAGGTAGACGCGAACGGCATTGGCCACGGCCCCACACAGAAACACGCCGCTGAGCCCGAAGCAGAGGCGGGTCAGGTGGCTGCTGTAGTCCACAGTGGGGTTGGTGTAGATGACATCGATGATCTTTCCAAGGAAGAAAGGGGCAGACATAGTGATGACACTGGACATGGTCAGAAACCCAACAGCAGCTAGAAAACACAAGCACAGGCTCATGCTCATGGTGCTTCTGAGCCCGTGGACTGCAGCCACGCCCTAGGGTAGCCAGACAGAGCAGAATCTCAGGAGCCTGGTCTCAGGGAGAGGCATTGGAGCTTCGTTTAGGGATGGGAGGCTGCCCTAAATGCCAGGCCCTGTAGGGATGGAGGAATCTGGCAACCCTGTCTGGCAGACGGAGCACAGCACGCCAGGCAGTGGTGTTCAGGCATGCCGGCATGCCGCCTGCCGGCAAGGGCCCGGAGTCTCACAGTGGAGCCCACACTGCTTCCTGCCATCCCTCATGGTTGCATCAGACAGTGCCCAGCAAGCTCCTGAGGCACCCAATGGAGGGCACCATCGTCTATGGCCATACCACCCTGAATGCACCTGATCTTGTCTGATCTCAGAAGCTAACCAGGGTTGGGCCTGATTAGGAGACCACTTGGGAATACAGTGTGCTTCAAAAAATCCAAAATACGCTCTAGGTAACCTTTGGAAAGCAGTTTCAGGAATCCATTTCACATGTGGTATGAGACTTCTTAATAATATTGCTTTGGGGACTATCAGCATGATATGAAATTATTAAGAACAGAATTGTTTATCTACCTAAAAAAGACAAAGGGAACAGAGTCTTATCAGAAAACATTAAGAAAATCCAGTTAAGAACAAGACGTATCACAGACAACCTCTTTACTAATACGAGGAATTCAGATCTAAACTATAAAGAGGTAGCATGTCTAATTTGTTGGCTTGGCAAAGATCAAACTGTGATTAACACACTGTGTTGGTGAAACTGTGGGGAAGGAGGCATTTTCACTGTTAGTGGGTGTGCAAACTGGCACAATCTCCCCAGAGTGACTGATCAGAAAGTGGTCAGAATGCAAATGTGCGTTCCCTTTGCTCTAGCAATGCCACCTCCGAGAATTTAACTTACAGATACACTCCCATAGGCGTATAAAAAATGGAGATTCAAGGACGTTCATTAAAGCATTGCTTATATCAGCAAAAGAATAAAAACACCAAGCCGGGCTCAGTGGCTGAGCCTGTAATCCCGCGCCTTGGGAGGCTGAGGTGAGTGGATTGCCTGAGCCCGCAGGCTCGAGACCCGCCTGGGCAACTTGGCCAGACCTCATCTGAGCCACAGAGTGAGACTCCAGCTCAAAAAAAAAAAAAAAGAATATAAACACCTTAAGCATCTTCAAGATGGAACAGGTTAAATCAAATCTGGAGCATTTATTTTATAAATACCATGCGGCCATTAAAAAGAATGAGGTGACGCCAGAGACACTGACATGGAACAATCTACAAAGACATCCATTAGTGAAAAAGTCCAAGACACAAATGCTACATGTATGGGCTTTCTGTCAGTTGGCTTTTCCTAACTTGTATCCACATACCACAGCCCTGGAAGAGCAACAACGAACGGGTAACACAGGCCGCTTCCGAGTGGCACTGGACGATGGCAGCGCGAGAGAAAGGTTTTCTTTCCACTGGATCCCTTTTGAGCTTGGTACTATGTGCTTACATTGCCCATGAAACCACGTAGGGACCTGGCTGTCCCCTCAATACAGACTCCAAGTGGACACAATGTGGACTGAGCCCTAGGAGATGGGAGTTCCCAAAACTCTGCAAACAGCAACCGCTTCTCTATTTGTGTTGGCTAATTCTAACATTTCAGTTAAAGGTATTACTTTTTTACAGCCCTACTAAAGCGTGCAGAACAAACTCAGTGCCAGCTGGACATTAACAAACAGAGCTCTAAGAGAAACACGAGCCTTTAAAGGCTGCACATTTCAAACAAGCGCTCTTGCCCCACCTTAAGGTCTTTATTCTGACATCCTCTCCCCCAAAGGCCTGCTCTGACAACCTCACTTAAAATTACAGACACTCTCCACCGCCTGCCTCACTCCCTCTTCATTTGTCTTCTAGCCTCTCCCACCTTCCAGCATTCTAGATCTCTCACTTGTTTATTCAGTCTACCTCTCCGTTAGGACATAAAAGATTCTGGTCTGATTTATCACTGACTGTCTCCAGTGACAGACACATAGAAAAATGTCAGTCAGTATTTGCTGAATGAATGAACAAATGAACTGAACTTTGCCAAAGAAGGCAGCAAAGTCTACAGGGCCAAGGTTCTTCAATAGCCTAAACAGCAATGCAAGATTTGGCAGCTCAGAGTCTCCACATGCTGGCTTAAAAATCCATCACCACAACCTGAGTAACATGAAGCTGGCCAACAACTGTTTCATTTTGATGTAAGGCCCGCGGTCTTGCTTCAAATGTGCCTTCTGACAGTGCCCAAGTGGGTGGGAAAGTTCAAAAGCCAGGGAGAGTGTCTAAGAAGTACGCAGTGAAAACACAATAGTGATAATAAAAAGAAAAACTGTAGAACAGAATTAAATTCAAAGCACAGGGACCGTGTCTAACTCAAGGTTCTGCCCAACTCAGTCCAGATGAACAGGCAGCCCTGGAAGAGTCAACCCGGCAAACTCAGGGTTCAGCAGAAAAGCCTTTCTGCCTTGTCCCTCACCATAGTGAGTCTCACTAGTCTGTTCCTTAACCTTGGCAAGTACGTCCAAAAAGTGTCATGTATGTGGCATGCTCCAAGATCCGTCTCTCCCCTCCTCTAGTCTAATTCAAAAGTACAATTCCACAGTGAGGCTCTGAAATGTCATGGACAAAACGCCCTGTGACGTGTATTTTACACCTCAGTCAATGCCGCCAGCCCCACCTCACAGCACAGCTACAAGATGTGAACCGAATGCTTCTGACACAAGGCACTTCCGCAGCACACAGACATCCCTGCTTTCCAGAACAGTTCGATTTCCAAGGCTGGTCCTCCCTGGCCCATGGTACAGGCCTCCACTTAACTGGGCTTCAGGACACAGCCACGCTCAGTACTCCTAGCCCTCCCCTTGCCTGCTGCCCCCACTGGTGTCATCACTGTGTTCCCCACGGTCGCTTCATGGGCCATCCTCATAAAACGTAACCACACACTCGACAGGCTGCAGGTTCTACGAGGGTTCCCCGCTCAGCCACACGGAGCAGCATCTGGAGAAGCACAACCGCCAGGCTGTGGCTGTGCTCTCATCTCATGGCTCACTCCTAAGACTCAGCCTCTTACTCCCAGAGGAAGGCGCCCTCAGCCTTCCTCTATCTGCCCAGCACAGCCTGAGGGCTTGGCCGAAGTACTGCTTATCCACTGCTCCTTCCCAGCTCCTGCATCTTCTAGATTCCTTCAGGCCTAGGCGATAAGATGAAGGATCAGCAGCAAAAAGGACCTAGGCAATCTGCAGGCCACAGCCGTGGGACTACAGCTGCAAATTCCTACCCTAAGTGGGGGGGGGGGGCAGCTTAGAGGACAGCTGTTCTTCAGACAAGGAAAGGAAATCTTGTGAAAACTGCTCGCAGCACACTTCTGTACAAGCTGCAAAAGGAAGACCCTGTTTGTACAAGTTCTGCTACAACTACTTATCAAAGTTTATGGTCACAGTTTAGGGAGCATACTCAGCAAATGCTGAAGACAGATGGAAGTATTGTTGCACCCAAAGCTGTGCTTTTCAAAAATGACTTCCGTATTTTCTTTTTCTTTTCTTTCTTGAAGTTGGAATCTCACTCTGTTGCCCAGGCTGGAGTGCAGTGGCACACTCACCGCCACCCCAGCATCGACCTACTGGGCGCTGGCGTCCTTCCGCCTCAGTCTTCCAAGTAGCCGGAACTGTATTTGCTTTTCTAAAAATTAAGAAATTAACATCGGAAGTCCTCTCTTCAATTCAGATTTTTTGGTCTTGATTTAAAATTACTCACACACTGCTCTTTTTCTCTGTCATTTCAAAGAGATGTGTCTTTGAAGAAGAAGAATAATAGTCCTTGCAAACCTGACAACCGCTTATAGGATGAAAAATTACAAATTATCAATGATCCCCCACTTCCTCTTAATGTCACAAATGCTAATGTCCAGACTAGCTTTAATTATATTATATATAATGACTTCTGAGGAAATCATATGTTCCAATAAGGGCTGTGAATCAGATTTCCACATGACAAACAATATGTATTTCTTATCTATTTATAAAGAAAAAAAAGGGTGTCAACCCCAAGCTTATTTCCTCAACTACACATTCACAATTTTTCAACACGGCAGAACAAAACAGCCCTTCTTAAAATAAAAGGAGGCAGTCTTGCCTCGTTCAAGGTTGTCGCCACAGCGTCCTGCCATGGAATCTGAGACAGGACGAGAAGTCACAGGAAGGATGGTCCTGGGATAGGGAGGCACCAGCAAAGCCTGACACCTAGACCATCTTTCTTGACAGCTAACGTTTCAGAAAGCAAACATAACTGTATTTCCCTACATTTGTGTAGAGTCACATACAAGACTGGTGGCACACTCTGCAGTGCTCAGGGTGTCTACAGGTCAGCTACTCATTCACGTCAGGCACTCTGAGACCCTGCTCTGGGCTACACGCTTGGTAAGAAACCGGAGACACAGAGATGAATCAGACGCAAGCCCTGTCTCAAGCAGCTCAGCCCAGGGAGGGCTCTTTGCCTCAAAATTTTCTTTGAAAAGGAAGGCGGAAAAGAAATACCTTTGACATCAAAATCTCCACTCAACCAAGTGAACAATGAGGTCATTCTCTTTGTATCTCAGTGGTACGGAGAATCTCCCCAAGCTTTGTAGTCAGTTGCAGATGAAGCCCTGCAACCCTAACTGCTCTCCTCCACCATACAAACCTACTCTAAGTCCCAAGTCACTCCCTAAGAGGAGCCTTTCTAAAGCAATGCTGCTGCAGCAAAAAATGCTTGTCTCGGCCCATCGCAGTGGCTCACGCCTGTAATTCCAGCACCTTGGGAGGCACAGGCCAGAGGACTGCCCGAGCCCAGGGGTCCAAGATCAGACTAAGCAACATGAGATTTCATCTCTACAATAAATGAAAAATGAGCCAGATGTGGTAGTAGGTGCCTTGGAAGCCTGAGGTGGAAGCATCGCCTGGGTCCAGCAGGCTGAGGCTGTGGTGGCCATGAGCATGCCACTGCACTCCAACCTGGGCGACAGAGTGAGACGCTGACTCAGTAATAATAGTACTAGCACTGGCAAACCTGACAACCTTACAGGGCCTCGTCC